ACAAATGCACATGACAGCTTGTCAAACCCTTCCAGGAGATTCTGAAGACACTGCCGCGGGGCTAGAAAGCCACAGAGCAAACAGGAGCACTGGGAAGCCCCAGGCCCTCGGCCTCTCCCAGATCCATGCTCTCATTCATTCCTGAAGCCAAAGATGGAACAGAAGGCAGGAAAGGCCAACCCTGAAGGACAGCAACCTCAAGTCACAGATGAACTCCAGAGCCTGCCCAGAGACCAAGGAGAAAGATGAAGATGGAGGGCTCTTGCTCTTTGGGAAATAAGGACCCAACTTCTTTCCAGTAAGCATCTAACCTAGAGAAAAAATATGGGATGAGATATGAAAACCCAGGCTTTCTTTCCCCATTCCACAAAAGGGCTCACGAATACCTCGGGCCAGGCTTTTCACTTCTCCTAGCTTTCATATTAAGTCATCAGCAAGGCCCTGCCCGGCTCTGGGTGCCTAGGATCCAAGGGAGGGTCTGTTCTTATCCTGTTCTGAAACAGCTCAGAAACACAGCAGAAGAAAAACCAAGCTTGAAAGTAAGCAGCTTGATTCAAGGGCCCAAGAATGAGCAGGAAGCCCAGTGGTGGGGAGAAGAGCCCCTCTCCAAACACTTCAAAAGCAGCTGCCAGGCGATCAGGTAAGTTACACAGAACTGCCATCGAGAGTTTGGAGAATCCTCAAAATATGCAATTTGTGCGTGCCTATAATCTCAGGAGGATGAGACAGGAGGATCACAAATTGGAGGCCAGCCTCAACAGTTAGTGACACCCTGCCTCACCAAAGACTAGGATATGGCTCAGCAGTAAAGTACCCCTAGGTTCAATCCCCAGTACCAAAACAAAACAAGACAAAAACCTGCAATCTGCCTATTTATACCTCATGGTCTATCTGCTCGAAGGATTCTCTCTCCATCCTAAACACCCACCTCCTGCGTCTTCCTTTCTGATGGGAGCAGTAAACAATATAACCTTAAAACAAAGGAGTGGACCCCCAAATTAAAATAAAAGTGAAGAACAATGTCACGGATGACAGAAGTGAATCTAGAATAGATAAAGGGTAGCCCCACACTAAAACATCTATGCAACCTGTGAAAGTACCACACCAGACAGGGCTTGAGGGAGACCTTGCTCAGCCTCTCACTGAATCACAGGATATCAGCGCTGGGGAGGAACCAGGGTGCACATTTCAACAGCTCCTCATTGCTCAGAAGAACCTGTTGGGTGGCTTCACCATAAGTGGCCAGCAGTGGACTACCTTCTGCAGAAGGACATACCGGCGGGCCTACCCTCGAGATTCCAAACAGCCAGGAGTCCAGCGGAACAGGGACATAAGGACCTTTCCTGCCATTGCTGCCTTCTGCATTTGCTCTAAGATAAGGAGGAGCTCGACAGGCCCTTTGCAACCAACATATGTGAAACCAACTGCATCCCAGGTGAGTGCTCTGAAATATTTACGACTTAGTCCTTCCTGGGGGCTCTGTTGTTGCACTGTAACTTAACTATTTCTGCTATACCACCTTTGTGTGCCCCAAACAATGAATCATCTAGCCTAAACAGATATTTAATAAACATTTGCTGGGATTAAACTCTCTCCTTTATCTCTACCCCTAGAATGCATTTTTTAAATCTAATACACAGCAGAGACCATGTGATCAGTTTTCTGGTATGCCCCTCTAGATATTCAAAGTTGTAGGTTCCCAATACATATTTGTGAATGAATGATTGATTAGATGATGAGCCCCAAACCCTCCGGGCTATGTCTGAGGACCCTTCACACGTAAGAACTGAGGAATTCCCAAAGGCACGTTTGAGTTCTCTGCTGTTCTCTGGGCTTTTCCATCCCTGGGGGTGGGAGGGAGATAAGAAGAATAACCTGAGAAGATTTCTCAGGAAATCTACATTTATTAAATCTGTTGTGGTGAAACCGGTTATTACAGAAGAAAACTTGTATTCAATAAGGAGTCCTTGAACACACCCCTATCAACATGGACATAGGTTTCAGAAACATGTACATCACATGCCTTTGTTATACGCTGGCATCTACTGGATACCTCACAGCTGTGTGCCCTCCTCAACAGCAAATTCTTAGATGAGTGATAACACTTCTGGTCTTTAATGGCTATTTTCATTTGGAACTGTTAGCAAGTCAAAAGTGTTCATTTACCCTTGCTCAGGTTCAGTTCTTTCTGAGACATCAAGGGCCCACTCAAAAAAAAATAAAAAAATAATAAAAGTAGTCCTAATTTAAATAAAAAGCTATAGGCTGCCAAGAAAAATCACAAAGGAGGAAAGTTGCCCTTGCCCTACTGAAGCCTTAGGCAAGTCACATCTCTTGCTGAGCCTCAGTGCCCTCATCTACAAATGGGGTGGGTACTCCTCTCCCTCAGCATCTTTTTCATAAGTGCAATTAAGGGTTAAGCCCTGGAAAGTCGTAGAGACATATTGTAATTCTAGCAATCTGTTAATCACGCATGGCGTTGTACCCCAGAACGCACCACAAAATTACTGCCTCTGAGCTGTTCCTAATCCAGGACAGACACTTGACACAACAGATGAGGTGGTCTGTGTGTAAGTGGAATCCTGTTTCAAACACTCAGAGGGAGTTTCCTGGGGTCTTGGAAACCAGTCCTGGCCGCCTTCTAGCATCTGTTGAGGGGGCATTCTGTTCCTGGATAATTGGATTGTCTTGAAATTCAAGCAATTTCCTCGTATGGCCTGGGCCTGCAGGGAGCCGAGATTCCAGAGGTTTTCGGCCCAGTCCCAGCCCTGGGCAGGAGGAACCAGGGCGGCCAGCCTGGTGCCCCTCCCCGCACTCTGGGCGGCTCCTTCCTCTCCAGCTCCGCACAGTGACACTCGTGCTGTGTCACTTTCACCCTGCGGAAGCTCCAGCCGGCGCTGAGTCGGCAGCTTCCTCGGGAGTGGAGCGGACCCCTAGCTGGGGAGATAATCCCGGGCCGCTGAGATGGAGCGCAGCGCTGGAAGGAATGGCGGGCAGCTGCGCGCGGCCGGCCGAGCTGCGGGCTGCAGCGGGCTGGGCCTGGGCTGCAGCGGCCGGGTAGACTTTGGTCCCCAGACTTAAGAATTGTCGGGGGGGCGGAAAGGCTCTGAGCGCGCGGATTCTCTCCAAGGTCTTCGAAGACAGCGACGGGCACGCGCACCCACAGGGCGTCTCGGTGCAAGGGTCAACTAGCGTGTCAGGGGGCGGGGGCGGCGACGCGCGCGCCCGCGGCTTCTCCCCGCCCCGCCAGACCAGCCTCCTGCGCCTTGGGGTTGGAAGACAGCTGGAGGGGTCAGGGGACGTAGGGAGCACCGAGGCAGAGGCTGTACTGCGAGCAGGGGACTCCCGCACCTCGGACGAGCACATTCGACCCCAGGGCGTCCCCCGGCCCAGAGTCTCGGATTTCCTCTCCAAGTAACCCGGGAGCGCGCGCGCGCGCGTGGAATCACATCTGACAGCGAGTCCAACTCCAGCCACCAGCGGCTGGCTGGACCCATCCCCCGCAGGATCCCGACCACGCGGGTCCCCACTACGCCGCGGTGTGCCCCGCCCCCCACGCCACGCCTGAACAGTGTGTACACACACAAACAGCTGGGCGGGGGAGGCGACGCCTCGCTCCCGGGGTAGGGACGCACACGGCGCCGCCAGCCATCCTTCCCCTCCGCCCGCCGCGCC